AATTTGGACATCGAATTTGACATCCCTTCATAAACCGAAGATTCTTTTTCTCCGTGAAATGAAGAAAGTGAAAAGTCCGCCCATGGGATGTACTTATAACCGGCATCTCTTAATGAGTTCTTTATAAGCGCATTTTTCTGTACTACCATCATTGATTTTATTCAGGTCAATGAAACTTCACAAGGGTTCAATTTTAAAAGCATCAGTAGAATACTTGAAAGATCTTAAGAAAGACAAAGAAAAATTGGCGAGATGTGAAACCAGACAGAAAGAAATGGAAGCAAAATATCAGAAAATTCTGATAAGAAAGTTTGTAAGATTTTTTTTTTACTATGGAAAATGCAAAACATTATGAATTCAATATTTAATGATATTCAAATATCAGGTATCAGGAATTATATGCGCAAACTAGAAAAAAAATCAAAATGATGATTCTATATTAGCTAATATTTTTCAGGGACAAATACATAGCTTGTGATGGCAAAAATTGAATTCTTATTGATATCCAAGCTTATAGATATTAATGTCTTTCTTAATCGAAATTGAAGGTATTCAAAATATATGAACTTTTCGTCCTAGCAAATCGAGCTGAAAATGAGACTACATGGACTTTCGGTGGAATTAGATTTCAAACGAGGAATGAAAAAAAAGAAAACAAAGAAGAGTTTCGAAAAAGTAGACGAAATAGTAGAAAATCTGATAGAGCAAAGTCTGCTGCTTAAATCAGAAACGATTTGTTCTTCAACTAGCTCCTCTTTAAAAGGACAGGCAAAATCCAAAATATATAGTTACGACAAAGATACAGAGCATCCCAAAGCAAAAGCAGTCCTAGGAAAGTTTATCACAAAGAAATTAAACAAGGAAACCATCTCTGACTATCAGTCAAATTTCGTAAAGGAAAAATCCAAGCAGAATCAACTCAAACTGTCATCAGAGCAAGGGAGTGCTGAAAACACCAATGACCTCATTCTACCACAGAGGGACAAGCTGGAAATCCCTAAGCAAGGTCAAATGTTTCCTGTACAAAACATCTTACCTACATCAAAGATGGCGGCAGATTCTTTACCTTTGTTCTCTTCTAGCAGTGAGTTAAGCATTAAACAGTCCGATATTTTTTCTGGATCTGCTCGAAAGCCAAAATATCAGTGTTGTTCAACTAAGCCTTCCCCATTCTCCTCTTGTCATCATTTGAGTTCTACTGAGAAAGCTGCATCAACAAAAGTGACTAGCAGCATGCTCGAAACATTACTAAGGAAGTCTGAATAAACTATGTCTACGGCAAATTTGATTGAAATGTCCATCAGAAATGATTAATTCATCGATTTCAAATCTTGATACATGACCATATATTTTCGTTTTCTTTCCACATATGTTATGGATAATTTTTACTCTGTCTAGTTTTTTTTTTAATTGAAACTGAAACTAAATGAAAGTATAATTGGAGGAAAGATTGAAATTTGTCAATTGTGCAATGCTAGCTGATAAGGTAAAGTTGCTATGTGGTTCATTGTTATCATATGTTTGTTTTAAATAATGATAATTTCCTACGAAGAATAAAGAGATAACATCGTTTCACTTGCATTTTCATAGTCTAAAAGACATACCGCCGTAATGAAAAAGGTAAAAATACTTACTTCTCCAATCTGATCACCAACTGATATATTTTCTTTTGGGGGATGCTTGCTCCACCTAGACACCTGAGCCCATCTTTGGAAATTCCGAGGGTCCATGTCTATGCCATGTTCAATTACCTTTTTATGACATCAATCATTGTTCGTAATCTTTTTCATTTAATGAAACTTAAACGTAAACGTATTACATTTGGCTGTGTATTCTTTTTAGCGCTTTTGGCGGAAAGACACTTCCGCTAACTTAAGTACAACGCTAAATGTTTTGTACTTATATACGTAAATAAGAACGATAAGAAATGCGCTAAATTAAATCTATGCTAACTTGTTCAAAACTCAATTTCCGCCAAATATCGTACACGCTAAATATGATACATTTACAGTACTTACTTTTCCAATCTAATCACCAACTGATATAAATACTTTTGGGGGATGCTTGCTCCACCTAGACACCTGAGCCCATCTTTTGAAATTCTGAGGGTCCATGTCTATGTCATGTTCAATTACCTTTTTATGACATCGATCATTGTTCGTAATCTTTATCATTTAATGAAACTTACTTTTTCAGATTTATAACCCTTTTAGCATCTAAATAATACACGAAGATTCGTTATAATCACATCAAAAATAATTACTTTTCAAAGGTAGATAAAATTTGCATATTGTGCAACAACGTCTATTTTTGCAAAAAAAGAGAAGTTTTTTCATACTCTATGAACGTTATATGCACGCAATAAAAATGAGTTAAACAGGGCAAAATGTTATATGGTGCAAGTTTCCAAATTGCATACAATCAGATAAATTTTTCCTTCACATTTAAAGTGACAACATATGACGTCTTTAAAAGAGTATTAATTTTAATGGATGGTTGCATAAATGTCCTTCAAACCTAAATAGAAGACAGCAGCTGACTGAAACAAGACAACTCATATTATCAAGGAAAATGTTATAATCAAAATCTACCTGACACATATACCAATAACTAAATATTTCTTCAAAAAAGGGCAAAATTATTCATGTCATATGCAGAATGATTTGAATTATAATCACTGATTTATCGATTTTAAAGCTATAAATACTAGGTTACTGAATATAGGGTTATTTTCACCCTTTCATACAACATAATTTCGACATATTTTAAATTCGACATAACACAATTTCTATAAAAATACATTGTTCTTTACTTTTTATTCGCTCCGTTTTATGCTGTGTCACTTATAAAATTAGTTATATCAAGGTTTTTAGAAGAATATTTTGAAAATTACTCATATAGCATGACTTAAATTCGTAAAGAAATGTTGGGGTCAATGTGATTTTAATAAGTAAAGGTACAATGAACTTGACCCTTTTGCACTTTAATTGTAACTCTTAGGTTAATCACTTTAACATTTTTTTTTCATATCTCACCAGATTTCATCCTGGCAATAAAAATAAATTATATAACGTAAAATTGTTTGAATGACAATTATTATTGGACAAATCGTTTATATTAATGTGCATAAATTATTGCGTGACCTTTTCGCATTAAAATGTTTCATATTTTGGGTATTGAAAATCTAAAGAGGCAATATTTTTTTTTCTTTTCTGGCTTAAGTGTCTATTACTAGTATTTAGAAATATCGTGTTATTTAAAATAGTAAAAGAAAAAGATGGGGCTGCTGATGTTAAATTCGAAATAATGGTCAAAAAATATGCAACGTTGGTGCCAAAAAAGTGTAAAATCTTGACTTTTTCAATTTATTTTCATTTTTCGGCAAAGCCTGCTGAGTGAATGTGTGAAGTTTGTTCTAAAAAATATCCATTGAAACCAATATTTTATATATATAGAATATAATAATGGGGAAAATGCTCTGAGTTAAACTTTTTAAAGAAAGTGTTCCAAGATATTAAATTTGACAAATAAGTAGATTTTAATAATTTTCAACCTAATATTCTTCCACCACAAGAAATATTTCCCATAAATCGTGTCTCTTACTGATTTTCTGTGACCAGTTTTTAAATTGAATTTTGCATAATTTGAGTTGTTTAATTCAAATATGTTGAAAAATGGAATTATTATAAATAGTTTTAAATGAGAGGTTCTGACTTAAACTTTCTAAAAAGCTGTCAAGTAAGACATCTCAAAATTAATAACATGCAATTAATGATTTTTTTGACACGACGGTGAAAATGTGAAATAAATTTTATCCAATTGCCATCGGATGAAAAATAAGACATCAAAATGTCTCCATAATTGATGCGATATTATATAACTAACACTTTCTTTGGATTCATTTCTGATATTTTGTTTATTTCTTCTCTGCCGGTGTAAAGATGGAGAATGACTCCTTAAAAATCATTTCGTCTAGAGTCATAACTGCTTCGAGAGAATTCAATCAATCAGAATTTTTTTAAATAGATAAAGTTTAGATAAATAAAATCAAAAACTTAATAGCATAAAAGTTTTTCATATAAATTTCACGTTTAAACTTCAAAAATCATTTTAAAAAATAAAATAAATAATAAGAATCAAGACAAAAAAAGCAGAAAATTTAATATCAAAAAAGGTTTACATAAAAAAATAATTTAGCATTTTAATATGCATGTATGTATCATTTACTACCAAAATATGCCCCCCGAAAATATGTAAATGAAAAAAATGGCCAAATAAGCGATGACCTTATGATTTGTTTTCGTATATAAATCTTGTGTCCTAAAGCTGGGAAATGTATATTACATTAAACAAAGGAATGGTTCCTGTATTTTTTTAATATGACAAACTAAAGTAAAATGTAATTTATTTCAATGAGCATATAAGTGTTTAAAATCTCTATTTGAGTGAACATAATGCATTTATTAAAGATATGAAATAAAAAGGAATGGGGGAAATTACCTTGTAAACAATTTTTAGTAAATTGAATCAGACGTTACTCTTGAAATTCTAATGCTTTCGAAATACAGTTCTGAAAATCATTTTAGGGAAGAAAAACATATTTTATTTTTGTAGCAGTATATTTTTATTTAAGAAGATCAAAAGGATTTTTATATTTTACCTTCAACAGCTTTGATTCATGTAGTATGAAATTAAAAAAAAAATCTGACTTATCGTAATTAGAAATTTTAAGAAAGTAAACTGTCATATCTGCCATTTGGATGTTGCTTTTGGTAATGTTTTTTAAAGAATTTTTATAACAAGACTCTCTTGAATGCTAGCCCGATTAAATAAAGAAGATGAGATGAAGGCTGGGCTGCTCTTAATAAAAGTTTTATTAAAATGCTAAGAAATATCATGACTTAGGCCATCTTTAAAAAATTGCCTGGTTGCCCTCTCCTGACTTTTTTTTACATTTCAGGAAACGATATCTTTTTATTCCTCTTATCCTGTCAACAGATATGTTGATAATTTCTGCCTCAGGACCCTTTAATTTTACCCTGCGTCAGGAGAGGGTAAGCAAACATTATTTTAACGATGGCTCCTTAGAAAAATTATTCCTTTTCAAAAATGCTTTAACCCCAATGGCAGTAAATACTGGTTTTACTTTTATGTACTGCAGTATAATTATCAGATTTAAGTCACGCCCACTTTTGGCATGAAGCAATACTTTGACAATCTGAATGATGTCAATTTCATTTCCTATTTCTCGCAGAGCTTCTCCATTTTAAATCTTCTAAGAAATTAAACTGAATGGAATATTGAAAAAAAAAGTTAAACAATTTATTCTATAAACAATTTAATGAAAAACAGTACAGAAGGATATGGAGATAACGAACATTATTGATTTATCAATTTATGTAAATTTTATGTGTTTTTAAAAGTTTTAACAGTTTACAAATATTTTTACCGTAATCTGTGCTTTTTTTATATCACAAAGATACTTTTTCAACCATTGTGGAACAATTCACTAAAATAATTGTTACGTCTCTTTCTCGAGGAAAAACGAGCCTCATTAGCGATGTTGCAAAAGCAACAATACTGTTCTCATATATGAAAATTGCATCCACTAAAGTACGTATTTCAATTATTTAACCTTTTACAGGGATGTTAAAAACACAAGTTTCTTGTAATTTTTTTACTGAACGAACGATGACCAGTGCCTCCCATAATTTCCAACCCTAATAATGTTTCCTTGAAACCTCCCATAATTTCCAACCCTAATAATGTTTTTGCAAGTGCCCTTTTTTCATGCATGAATGATGAATGCATGTTTAAAAATAGACACATACCTTCCTGAAAAGGAAAAAAAAGAAACAAAAAAAAACATGTGTGTCTCTAATGACAGATTGCATAACATTATTGTAATAACAGGATAAACATTTTTAAATTCTGAAATTTTAATTCGTTACGTAATCCATCAATTTTTTGTTAGAAGAGCCACATGCTTTCTTGACGACGAGATATGTAATTATTTCCCTCAGGCAAGACATTTTTCAAGGACAAACACCGATCACCTAAAAATAATATTTTGAGTAAACTTCAACATATAAACTCTTGAAGGCTTAGGATTTTTAGAACGACTTACCTTATAAAGACTAAATAAGAGAATGGAAAAAAAATGTTTCTTTGTCTTGTCTGGGGCATATCTACCCTTTCAGTCCAAAACTTGACGGAGTGGCAGTCTTAGAGTTCGAACTAAGGCTACTGTAAATGCTCTCTATGAGTGTTATTCAAATATGACAGAGTAAAGCCATCATACAACAAATTACACTTATATAATGAAAAAGGGAAAGGTAACGAAAAGTAAAACGATCTAAAAAATCTACGGACAACACAAAATTTTGAATAGGGCATAAAACACGGACCGCCAAAAAGTCCAAAGGTGGGGCCAAGTGAGTTGTTCAAGACAACTCCGATATTAAACTAAAATTTTATTAAATATACTTTTAGTCTTTTACTTTTCAGTTCAAATTACAAGGATTCTTTATCTTATTTCAGGTAGATGCTTTAATTGGTGATGTCATCCAAATAGACTCAAAATTCAATTCCAGTCAGAAAATAAATGAGCAATTTGGATCGAGCTCAATGGTAAATCTTAATCTGAAAAGATGCTTGAATTTCCTTACTGACAATATATCCTTGTCTTTGTATACAAGACCCTCCAACCCTGTGTTTGAATTTCAGTCAGTACTTATCATGCTCCTTTTGATTAGCCGACATGTTTTGTATATTTAACGTTTCAAATATATTCTTCTTTTATTGAATTGAACAAGATTGCATCCTATCAATTTCGTAAAAAAAACAAAAACAACTCTTGTAAGTATAAGATTCCTAAGGGTAATATATCATTTTCAAAATTAGTAAAAAGCTAAAAATTTAAAGTTTGCTCTGTCTGATCCCATCTAAATATCGAATGTTGTCCAACTCATCAAATACATTGAACATGGTAATTCAGGTGATAACTTATCATATTATTCTTTTCAAATATTCTTTTTTTTTATTCCGGAACCTTTCACTTAACCTGGATTCTTTATCTTAATTTAGGTAGATTCTTTTGTCGGTGATATCGTCAATTCAGATTCAACTGGCGATGCCAATCAGCATATAAATGAGCAATTCTTATCCAGCTCAATGGTAAATATATTTTCTTTTTTTTAAATCTTTATCGAAAAAGATGAGTGAGTTCCTTATTAACAATTTCTTTGTAGTCTTCCGAAACCACGTCTTCTACTAATCTTTTGGAATAGCAATTGGTATTCGAAAACAAATTGTTTATTCCTTTATTATCCGACCCGTTCAATTATTTGAGAAGAACTTCATTTTAACGTTAAGACTTTGTTCTTGCTTTTGATTCGATGACGTTTTATCAGTTAACAATAATTATTACCATTATCAAATCGATATATCTCAGTGAAGTCGAAATAAAAGACACGATAACATACTGTAAGTACGATCAATTTTTATACGGAGGAAGCTTGAAACAAATAAGTTGATGTTACAAGGATTTCAACAAGCTCGTTTACAGTCAGCATTTCAAAACTCAACAGGTACCCACTGGTATTCCCAAATTATATGGTTGCTATTATGACCTCTTTTTGCAAATACAATATATATTTGGGTCATGCTTTGACTTACATGTTTCATACAAAATGTAAGGCCCTCTTTTTTTAATCAGTTAATTAGATAACAGATAATTCGCTTACATGATCAACTAATAAGACCCACGGCGGGCGTGAATGGACGACAAGGGATGCTAATCCCTCCCACGTTTCTAGTTATCCGTCGTTTATGCCTTGTCCCCTGGGTGAATTGTTTGAAATATTTTTTAAATCAATGTTCATTGTTTCTTTTTTCAAATATTGGGTCTTTTGCTGAATTATGGTAAAGATGATGTATGGATAAGTAAATGAAGGGAGGCAGAGAGGGCTAGGTGACTGGCCTGATAGATGGATAGTCAGTAGTCAGAAATTTGTATTTCAGAATCACGGAGACGATGGGAAATATGTTAATCTGCCGGATAGTGAGCCAAATATAGTCTCTGAACTACAGGAAATGGAAGTCAAGAAAAAAGACAGGATAAAGAAAGACAATCACAATATCAGTAAGCATTTTCCACACCTTTATATGAGGAAAAAGAGAGAAAAAAATTTCTTATTTTAATTTTGGAATTATTTTATTTACCATGTACTTATTTTTAAAAGATTTGAAATAGAACGTATTTTTATTTCCTCTTTTTCTAGTTGAGCGAAGACGGAGATACCACATAAACGACAGAATAAAAGAATTGGCATCTTTACTACCACCATCAACACCGCAGTAATTATTTTGTGACACAGTAATTATTTTGTGACCTTTAAAAGAAACAAAGGATTCATATTTGCATATTATAGATAGGAAAAAAGTAATTAACAAACAGTAAAGTTTTAAAACGATATCTTCAAGGCATTTCTTTGCATAGATTTTTATGAAAGATAAATGAATTCAGATACAAATACGACATTAGTACAGTAAAAATTGATAATATGAAAGTCATTTGGACATCGAATTTGACATCCCTTCATTAACCGAAGATTCTTTTTCTCCGTGAAATGAACAGAGTGAAAAGTCCGCCCATGGGATGTACTTATAACCGGCATCTCTTAATGAGTTCTTTATAAGCGCATTTTTCTGTACTACCATCATTGATTTTATTCAGGTCAATGAAACTTCACAAGGGTTCAATTTTAAAAGCATCAGTAGAATACTTGAAAGATCTTAAGAAAGACAAAGAAAAATTGGCAAGATGTGAAACCAGACAAAAAGAAATGGAAGCAAAATATCAGAAAATTCTGATAAGAAAGTTTGTAAGATTTTTTTTTTACTATGGAAAATGCAAAACATTATGAATTCAATATTTAATGATATTCAAATATCAGGTATCAGGAATTATATGCGCAAACTAGAAAAAAAAATCAAAATTATTATTATATATTAGCTAATATTTTTCAGGGACAAATACATTGCTTGTGATGGCAAAAATTGAATTCTTATTGATATCCAAGCTTATAGATATTAATGTCTTTCTTAATCGGAATTGAAGGTATTCAAAATATATTAACCTTTCTTCCTAGCAAATCGAGCTGAAAATGAGACTTCATGGACTTTCGATGGAATTAGATTTCAAACGAGGAATGAAAAATAAGAAAGCAAAGAAGAGTTTCGACAAAGTCGACGAAATAGTAGAAAATCTGATAGAGCAAAGTCTGCTGCTTAAATCAGAAACGATTTGTTCTTCAACTAGCTCCTCTTTAAAAGGACAGGCAAAATCCAAAATATATAGTTACGACAAAGATACAGAGCATCCCAAAGCAAAAGCAGTCCTAGAAAAGTTTATCGCAAATAAATTAAACAAGGAAGCCCTCTCTGACTATCAGTCAAATTTCGTAAAGAAAAAAATCCAAGCAGAATCAACTTAAACTGTCAACAGAGAAAGGGAGTGCTGAAAACACCAATGATCTAACTTTACCACAGAGGGACAAGCTGGAAATCCCTAAGCAAGGTCAAATGTTTTCTGTACAAAACATCTTACCTACATCAAAGATGGCGGCAGATTCTTTACCCCTGTTTTCTTCTAGCAGTGAGTTAAGCATTAAACAGTCCGATATTTTTTCTGGATCTGCTCGAAAGCCAAAATATCAGTGTTGTTCAACTAAGTCTTTCCCATTCTCCTCTTGTCATCATTTGAGTTCTACTGAGAAAGCTGCATCAACAAAAGTGACTAGCAGCATGCTCGAAACATTACTAAGGAAGTCTGAATAAACTATGTCTACGGCAAATTTGATTGAAATGTCCATCAAAAATGATAAATTATATAACATATAATCATATATTTTCCTTTTTTCACATATATGTTATGCATAATTTTTACTCTGTCTAGTTTTTTTTTTTTTAATTGAAACTGAAACTAAACAGAAGTAGAATTGGAGGAAAGATTGTATTTTGTCAATTGTGCAATGCTAGTTGATAAGGAAAAGTCTCTATGTGGTTCACTATTGTCATATGTTTATTTTAAATAATGATAATTTCCTACAAAGAATAAAGAGATAACATCGATTTACTTGCATTTTCATAGTCTAAAAGATATACTGCCGTAGAGGAAAATGTAATAATACTCACTTCTCCAATCTGATCACCAACTGATATATTTTCTTTTGGGGGATGCTTGCTCCACCTAGACACCTGAGCCCATCTTTGGAAATTCCGAGGGTCCATGTCTATGTCATGTTCAATTACCTTTTGATGACATCGATCATTGTTCGTGATCTTTATCTTTTTCATATAATGAAACTTAATTTTTCAGATTTACAACCCTTTTAGCATCTAAATAATATATGAAGATTCTTTATAAGCACATCAAAAATAATTACTTTTCAAAGGTAGATAAAATTTGCATATTGTGCAACAGCGTCTATTTTTGCTAAAAAAGAGAAGTTTTTTCATACTCTATGAACGTTATATGCACTCAATAAAAATGAGTTAAACAGGGCAAAATGTTATATGGTGCAAGTTTCCATATTGCATACAATCAGATAAATATTTCCTTCACATTTAAAGTGACAACATATGACGTTTTTAAAGAATATCAATTTTAATGGATGGTTGCATAAATGTCCTTCAAACCAAAATAGAAGACAGCAGCTGACTGAAACAAGACAACTCATCATTAAGGAAAATGCTATAATCAAAATCTACCTGACACATATATACCAAATACTATATATTTTTTCATCAAAGGGCAAAATCATTCCTTTCAAATGCAGTATGATTTGAATTATAATCAACAATTTATCGATTTTAAAGCTATAAGTACTAGGTTACTGAATATAGGGTTATTTTCACCCTTTCACACAACATAAATTCGATATGTTTTAAATTCGCCTAAATGCAATTTTTATAAAAATACATTATTGTTTACTTTTATTTCGCTCCCTTTTATGCTGTGTCACTCATAAAATTAGTTATATCAAGGTTTTTAAAAGAAAATTTTTGATACTAGTAATTACTCATATAGCATGACTCAAATTCGCAAAGAAATTTTGGGGTCAATGTGCATTTAAATGAGCAGCGGTACAATGAACTTGACCCTTTTACACTTTAATTGTACCTCTAAGGTTAATCTCCTTAATTAAATTTTTTTTTCATATTTCACAGATGTTATCCTGACAATAAAAATAAATCATATTTTATGTAAAATTATTTGAATGGCATTTATTATTGACAAATTGTTCATATTAATGTGCATAAACTATTGCTTGACCTTTTTGCATTAAAAAGTTTCATAATTAGGGTATTAAAAATTTAAAGAGGCAATAATTTTTTTCTTGTACCAATCTTTTTTGACTTTAGTGCCTATTATTTTAAAATATTTGTTATCTGAAATAAAAGAAAAAGATGGGGTTGTTGATGTTCATTTTGAAATAACGGTCAAAATACATATATGCAACGTTTAGGCCAAAAATAGTGTAACATTTTGACTTTTTCAATTTATTTTCATTTCTCCGCAAAGCCTGTTGAGTGAATGTGTGAAGTTTGTTCAAAAATATCAATTGAAACCAATATATTATATTCGTAGCATATAATGGGGAAAATGCTCCGAGGTGGTCCTTAACTCATTATTAAAGAATAAGTCGCCACTTGTGGGTTCATCATTTATTACATCATTCAAGTGTTGATATGGATGGATCGATGATATATATATATATATACAGGTGAAGTAGTATGTAGAATAACAATGAAAGTATAGCCCTGTAATAGGAATAAACAATAGTAAGTATAAAAGTCAATAATCAACTTGCAAGGGAATATATGCTCATTACAAGAAAGATAACTCTTGCACTATAATTATAAAGTTCAAATCATTTACAAGTTATTCCCCTTGACTGCATAAAATATAAAAACATTAATTCTGATAATGTTCATGTACAATATTACTGAGTAAATATATACATTCCAATGCAACTATTTCATGTTACATTTATCTATGATAAAAACATATGATTATACAGTATCAATTAATCACCTGTTTATGGAACAAGGCTAACTCAACATAGTTCTCTGAATATGTCTGGTGTATGTATTACATATCAACTGTAAATAATAATTCAACTATATAACTTCAAAATAAATAATCAGGTCACATCAATGAAATTGATAACTGATATTTATAAATTACCAAGATCAAATGATAAAAGTAAGAGAAAGATACTTTACAATCAAATCAACTGAATTTACTCATGAATGATAGAAAATGCATAAATTAGATAATTTACAGAAATATTAAATAAGAAATTAATTAAGATAATAAAATATAGAGTGCACTTACTATCTGTCAGTAGTCAGTATATCTGGTCATTCAAGATTACTAAATATGGCAGATTTCATATAGATACAGTCTCTTTGATAAATAGGTATATAGAACTTTCCTCTAAGGAGTCTAACTTTGTTATAACAAAGGCAGTTCACCAAAAGCGGGAAACTACATACTGTAAATCTATTGGTTCCTAAAACCACATGACATGAATCACATGTCTGAAAATGACCACATAGGTAAAATAGCCATAGGCATTAATTGAATAAGTCAACTAATGATCAATGTATAGCACAATAAAAGAACCAAGGGAGAATAGGGCAATACAGGAATATGTATCCAATTGTGTTTCAACTCATATATATACAAAATGATGATGATGTTGTAAATGATGTAGATGATGATCAAGTGAAATAATCATAAAATCAAGAAACACAATATTCCTATAAGATCATTTATTAATCATAATTATATAGAAAATATCACCCTATTACACTCTCCCCCTGCTCGAGAATGATGTCCCATCATTCAAAAAATTCTATCATAAAAATACACAAATTCAACAATTGTCATAAAAATACTTGTCAATGTATACAGCCATATTCATATTTTGACTTATGTATCAACTAAAAGCTTTAAAATACTTTCCACAATTTTATCTTCATGTCCTTTAAAAATAGAATTGTTGGAAGTGTTCATCAAATAATCTGCCTTTAACCTCCAGTCAGGTTGTCTCTCTGTTGAGTGTTGGTTTACAACAAAATTCCCTGATGTCATCCATTTTGGTTGTGTTCTCACTCTTGATGATCGTCTAGTCTGGGGTACTGGTGTCTTGACCTGGGTATCCTCTTCATCACTTTCAGTATCAGGACTATCATGAGTTGAATCCAGATTCTGGATATCTTCCTGACCAGCCGGCTGTTTCTCCTCAGTTGCTGCATCTTCATCTGTCTGTGATACAGATGGTGTTTGGTCAATGTTCTGTGAATCCTGGGTGGATGCATGTACATCTTCAACATCGTTTCCAGGGTTACTAGTATTCTCCCCATTATGTCTTCTCGTTCTAATGATGTGGGATACTCCTACATCATGGTCACTGTCTGAATCAGAATTCTCGACATCAGGCTCATTTCTGGTAGGTTCTGGTTCTTGAACTTCTTTAGCTACTGACTTCCTTCTCCTTGGCTTTGGTTTTGGTGCTATGTTGACTCTCTCTTCTGGAATGAAGGATATTGGTAACAGAAGATTTCTGTGAAGTGTTCTTATTTTTCCTGTACCATCTTCCTTCTGGACTCTGTATACAGGTATGTCTGGATTTGGCTGAGATAACACTGTATATGGCTCGCTTTCCCATTTATCAGCTATTTTATGTCTGCCATCGTACGCTACTATCTTTACTAATGTTCTGTCTCCTTTGGAAAGTACAGCTCCTCGAATTTTCCTATCATAATATGTTTTCTGTTTTCCTTGGGAATCTTTCAAATATTGCTGAGCCAGTTTGTAAGACGTATCTAGTTTATCTCTTAAATTTTTGATGTACTGGGGCATACTTTGATGGTTTTCGTATGGGTTTGTTTTGAATACCAAATCTATTGGCAACCTTGGCTCTCTTCCATACATCAAAAAGAAAGGCGAATGCCCTGTAGAAGATTGCTTCATACAATTATATGCATGTACTATAGGACCGATGTGTTGTTTCCAATCATGCTTCTGATCTGGTCTTAATGTACCCAACATCTTAAGGAGAGTGCGATTGAACCGCTCACATAATCCATTTCCCATAGGATGGTAAGGAGTCGTGCGTGATTTGGAAATTCCGATAAGATCACAAAGTTCTTTGATTAAATTACTTTCGAAATTCGCTCCTTGGTCTGTGTGTATTTTCTTGGGAATGCCATAATGTAGAATGAAGTTGTTGAAAAGAATCTGAGCTGTTGTTTTGGCTGTTTGGTTTTTCGTTGGGTAGGCTTGGGCATATCTTGTGAAATGGTCGGTGATAACTAACACATTTTCATATCCACCTTTTGATGTTTCCAGAGTTAAGAAATCCAAACATACAAGTTCCATGGGTTGAAATGTAGTTATATTTATAAGAGGTGCTCTTTGATTATCTGGTGATTTTCTGAGGACACATCTACTGCATTTCTGAATGTATTCTTCTATATCAGCAGTCATTCTGGGCCAAAAGAATCTGTCCTGGACTAATGATACAGTCTTGTCTCGGCCAGGGTGACCCATCTCATCATGTAGAGACCTCATGACTGTCTGTATGCACTTCGATGGTAAAAGTAGTTGATACTTCTCGGTGTTGTCTACAGTAACTACTCTGTATGTAGTTTCGTTGATGAGTCGAAGTTTGTCAAAATTTCTGTAGATGGTCATATGGTCTGGATCAAATGGTATCTCATTTCTTAATGGTTTGGTGTTGCTTCTTATGAAAGGAATCCAATAG